TGAGAGAGGAGAAGGTAGAAATCCGTTTACAAGCCGAGGTCTGAGGAGAGGAGAAGGCAGAATTCCGTTTATAAGCCGAGGTCTGAGAGATGAGAAGGTAGAAATCCGTTTACAAGCCGAGGTCTGAGAGATGAGAAGGTAGAAATCCGTTTACAAGCCGAGGTCTGAGAGATGGAGCCGGTAGCAGCATCGAGTAGAGCAGCTGATCTTACTGCCGCACCTGAGTGAATAATCCAGCCCTTTGAATCTGGCGCGGTCTTCCTAAGTATCGTGGAAAGACCGCGTCAGAAAAAAGGGCGGAGCTAAGCGCCGTGAACCCGGAAGTGGGTTCCGGCGGCAGCATGAATGTTAGGTATACCTGACAATAGGTTAGGTGGCAAGTGGGCAAAACCTGGTGTCTTCAAATGTTCCTATTACACTTTATTCGCTCAATTGCTGTGGGTTTTACTACTCTGCCAGTAGTATAAGTTTCTTAAAATCTTCAACAGTTTAAAGTTTTGCAGTTCTATATAGATCGTCCTACACTCTCTTTGTTAAAATACTAGAGTTGTATTTCTGAAATTCCCAGTTTTCTCTTATTGTATTGCAATGTGAATACAGTGGAACCTCGGAACTCGAACGTTCCCGAACAATTCGGAAGTCGGACTAAAATTTCGCATAAAAAATGTCTGTACTCGATTGATCCTCGGTACCCGAACACATCATGCGGCATTCACAGAGGGACACAAGTGTGGGGAAGCATGGGATACAAGTGTGAGATGAGGAAATTTGGGCAGATGGCCTATGTTGTCACGTTGCCGCGGGTTTGTCAGCGTGACCGCACTGAAAAACAGCAGTCACACCGACAGAAATAACAAACACTCATCTTACCTGCGTCAGATTAAAGCTTGACCTCCTACCATCTCGGTTCCCGGCGTGTGCGGCGTTAACAGAGACGCCAACCACTGTGGTTCCATTTTTAATACAGAAATACCCTTTGCCCATATCAAGATGGCGCCAACATGCGTGCGAAGTCACGTAATAGACGTACACGCACATTTTGGGGTTAGAGATCACATATAGCCAATTACAGCTCTAGGAGGGTTATTTAAACCCAAATTACCTTTTGATCAGTGCCCTGTCATGGTTTTCCTTAGCTGGTTATCCCAGAGAGTGTTCCTGATCTTTGTATTTCTGGTATTTGACTTTGGCTTCGTTTGACTTCACTGATTTCTGGTATCCTGACTTTTGGCTTTTCCTCATCTTTGTGTCTTGTTCTGTATCCCTGACCTCGACAAGTATTTTGACTATTCTTGGATACGTTTAGTCCGGCCATTCTAAGATCCAATTATACGTTTTCCTTAGTCCTAGATGTGATACTATTTCTGCGTGCTGGATCAACAGTAATCCTGACATATGTAAAGGGAGAGAGGGGAATATAGGGAGAGGAAAACCAGAGGGCAGAGGGACACAAGTAAAGGGTGAAGGGATATGGACAGAATTATTATTCAAGGGGAAAAAGGAATATATGAGAAGAAGGACACCAGAGGACAAAGGAACATGAGTAAGGAGAGAGGGATTATGGACATAAGGATACAAACAGAGGAGAGAGGGGTATTTTGATCCTGATACAGCCATTTTACATGCTTTTGTATGTAATGCCAGAAGAACAGTTACCGATTCGGTTCTCGAACAAATCGGAATTCGAACAGCCTTCTGGAATGGATTAAATTTGAGTTCCAAGGTTCCACTGTAATTGTGAAATGTTTTGTGTCAGCATGTCTATTAAACGAAGCACTGCAAAATTACAAAGAAAGATTGTAAAAAAAAAAAATATGGGATTCAAAACATAGAACCTACACTAGAATTTTACAGTAGGCCTGCGGTAGCTTTCTTTCTGTTTCTAACAAAGTCAGCCACCATGATCAGTTAAAAGGATACTATCAGTGCCAGTATACAAAGCTGTATTACTGGCACTATAGCTCCCTCTGCCTCCCACTTCCCTCGCGTCCACCCTTGCTCGGGTGAATAAATGGTTCAAAACTCTTTATTTACTTACCTTATCCTAGCAACGATGTTCCTTGGCGCTGGATCATGGCTTCGCCTCCCTCTCCGTCCAGCGACAAGCAGGCGCTAATGTTCATGCGCGGCAAATGAGGCACACGCATTAGAACTCCCTATAAGAAAGCAGTGAATCAATGCTTTCCTATGGGGAAAATCTGACACTGGATGTCGTCTGGGAAAAGTTTTAGGTGGCTGTGTAAAGCGATGACTATTTAGTCAGCCTATTCCAACATCCGGGAGGCTCAACAGATGTAGAGTTCGGGAGGCAACAATACAATGTGGGGCATCCCTCTAGCCCCAGGCCGGGTTGTAGGCCAGCATCTGTAAACCACAGACCTGGAGATTCAGGTAGTTCAAATCCTTCTCTGCTGGGGAGAGACAGTAGGCTTGAGTGGTATACTGCCTGAGGTAGCGGTCATTCTTCTGTCCATGTAGACAATGCTTTGAGGCTTTGCCCCAGGTGGCCCTCAGCCTGAGCGAGCTAGTAGTTGTAGAAAGGTGTGCATGAGTATACTCATCGCCCAGAGGACGCTCACACACCGCCAGATCCTCACTTCCCCGATTCACCTCTGGAGTCCGAGGAGTAGGAGCCAACTTGCATGCCTCCCAGGATTTTTAAGAGGGCGTAAAGCTAGCTGCTTGAAGAATTGGACAGCTGGGTATAGGTGCTCAATATCAGATTGCTTAGTCCTAGACAGAGTAAAGAACAGATTAAAAGAATGGTGAGAGCACACTATGCAAAATAACACATTACCCTTATGGCAATCGAAATTCAGTCACTATAACAGTACTTAAATCCCTCCTGTAGATGAAATATAAAAACAGGAAAAAACGCACATAAGGTAATAACGTTCAACCTTATTATAACTTTGACTGTAAAAGGTTTCACTCACATGGTCTTGAGCCACGTTAAATAAACTGGCTCAGACTACAGGGAGTGCAGAATTATTAGGCAAATGAGTATTTTGACCTCATCATCCTCTTTATGCATGTTGTCTTACTCCAAGCTGTATAGGCTCGAAAGCCTACTACCAATTAAGCATATTAGGTGATGTGCATCTCTGTAATGAGAAGGGGTGTGGTCTAATGACATCAACACCCTATATCAGGTGTGCATAATTATTAGGCAACTTCCTTTCTTTTGGCAAAATGGGTCAAAAGAAGGACTTGACAGGCTCAGAAAAGTAAAAAATAGTGAGATATCTTGCAGAGGGATGCAGCACTCTTAAAAGTGCAAAGCTTCTGAAGCGTGATCATCGAACAATCAAGCGTTTCATTCAAAATAGTCAACAGGGTCGCAAGAAGCGTGTGGAAAAACCAAGGCGCAAAATAACTGACCATTAACTGAGAAAAGTCAAGCGTGCAGCTGCCACGATGCCACTTGCCACCAGTTTGGCCATATTTCAGAGCTGCAACATCACTGGAGGGCCCAAAAGCACAAGGTGTGCAATACTCAGAGACATGGCCAAGGTAAGAAAGGCTGAAAGACGACCACCACTGAACAAGACACACAAGCTGAAACGCCAAGACTGGGCCAAGAAATATCTCAAGACTGATTTTTCTAAGGTTTTATGGACTGATGAAATGAGAGTGAGTCTTGATGGGCCAGATGGATGGGCCCGTGGCTGGATTGGTAAAGGTCAGAGAGCTCCAGTCCAACTCAGACGCCAGCAAGGTGGAGGTGGAGTACTGGTTTGGGCTGGTATCATCAAAGATGAGCTTGTGGGGCCTTTTTGGGTTGAGGATGGAGTCAAGCTCAACTCCCAGTCCTACTGCTAGTTCCTGGAAGACACCTTCTTCAAGCAGTGGTACAGGAAGAAGTCTGCATCCTTCAAGAAAAACATGATTTTCATGTAGGACAATGCTCCATCACACGCGTCCAAGTACTCCACAGCGTGGCTGGCAAGAAAGGGTATAAAAGAAGAAAATCTAATGACATGGCCTCCTTGTTCACCCGATCTGAACCCCATTGAGAACCTGTGGTCCATCATCAAATGTGAGATTTACAAGGAGGGAAAACAGTACACCTCTCTGAACAGTGTCTGGGAGGTTGTGGTTGCTGCTGCACGCAATGTTGATGGTGAACAGATCAAAACACTGACAGAATCCATGGATGGCAGGCTTTTGAGTGTCCTTGCAAAGAAAGGTGGCTATATTGGTCACTGATTTGTTTTTGTTTTCTTTTTGAATGTCAGAAATGTATATTTGTGAATGTTGAGATGTTATATTGGTTTCACTGGTAATAATAAATAATTGAAATGGGTATATATTTGTTTTTTGTTAAGTTGCCTAATAATTATGCACAGTAATAGTCACCTGCACACACAGATATCCCCCTAACATAGCTAAAACTAAAAACAAACTAAAACTACTTCCAAAAATATTCAGCTTTGATATTAATGAGTTTTTTGGGTTCATTGAGAACATGGTTGTTGTTCAATAATAAAATTAATCCTCAAAAATACAACTTGCCTAATAATTCTGCACTCCCTGTACAAGCATAGATAATATCCGCATGTGGCTTCCACACACCAGATTGCTTCCCCTCCGTGGTCCTCACGTTAAATTCAAGTATTCCAGGATGCAAGGAATAGAATAAACAACTTTATTGGACACACTAAAAACAACTGGGGTAAAACAAATACTGGATATAAAAGATATTTCTTAAGAGTCCACTGTGCTAATAATAGTGATTTGACGCGTTTCGGCCTGGGCCTTTGTCAAAAGTCTTTCACTCTTACTCACTCCTAATGGTTTAAATAAGTCCGGTTTGGTGCCTTTTTTTCATCCTTTGCACCATTTTTCCTTTCACTTCCGGTGTCAGGGTTGCATCCTATGCCCTGACATCCTCTAGGTGCGATTTCCGGTTAGCAACTTCCGGTCTTTGCGTCATGACGTATTTCCGGCTCGGACAGAACGCCCTCTTTTTCGATTGAGCCTGCCCATATCCAACATGGCTCCTCCAACAATCCAAACGGGCAAAAATGTATTACCCCAAAATACAGCAGCACGTTATCCTTTTATTAATTAAAAACAACTTAACACAATAATACATTGATTGGTCTATCTAACGCTATTAAAACTAAAACAGAAAACACAACTTGCTTTCCTCCAAACGACATAAATAAAAAGGATTAAATCCAGGGACAACATAAAAGGGAGAGAAAAAACTTGATTAATTCATCTATTATAACACCAAATTTTACATCAAACAAAACAGCATTCTTAGGGGATATTTCGTCTAGAGTGCATGTCTGGAGATCAACCCATCCTTAAACACATATGTTTAGTTCATAAATATTTTCTAAAAAATATAACAAATATTATTCAAAATATTTCAAAAAAATAAGTAATAAAAAAAATTATTAAATATGTTGTTTTTTTAATAAAAAGTAAATATATATATAAAACAAATTTATCATAAAAATATTTTTTATATAAAAAAAATGTTTTTATATAAAATTTAAAAAAAATGTATATACATTTTTTAAAAAATATATTTTTAATAAATAATGTTTTTATAAAAATGCAGAGTCATCTATATGTGTGGGGCGATCTCAAAGTCCACATTTAACCCTTGTGGAATTAGTGTATCAATGTCAACAATCAATTTCATTTCACTTCTATTTAGGAGGCCCTCTTTATCCCCCCTCTCCAGTGCACTTTTATTTGTTCTATTCCAATAAATTCCAAATTTTTTGGATCTGCATTATGACATTCCAAAAAATGTTTAGATACACTATGATTCATATATTTGCGACTTATGTTGTAGATATGTTCCCTAATCCTGATCTTTAGGCAACGTGAAGTCCTTCCTATGTATTGTAAGCCACAGGGGCAAATCAGCATATATATAACATCTTTACTGTTACAAGAAATAAAAGATCTGATGCTATATTCTTTCCTTATTTTACACCCTCTACACCCTCCACAATAAAAAAAGCCATTAGGTTTTTGTTTTTTTTAAATTATCATTTTTCTCATCTACCTCTAAAAAACTTTTTGTTAAAATCTGTTTTAAATTCTTTGCACCTCTAAAAATTATTTTCGGTTTATCATCAATAAAATTAGACACCCTATCATCGGTTTTTAAAATGTGCCAATTTTTGTTTATCATTTTCCGTAAATCTTGGTTATTTGTACAATAATTAAAAATCAATGGAACTTTTTCACTTTCGGTCTGAGTCACAATTTTATCCTTATACTTTAAAAGTTGTTTTCTATCTACTTTCTCAACCTCTTTAAAAGCTTGTTCTAAAAGACATTCATTATATCCTTTTCCCTAAATTGTTCTTGCAATTGCCCTGCTTGCTGTATATACTCCTCATTTTCTGTACAGTTACGCTTTAGTCTTAGCATTTGCCCTTTTGGGATGTTGTTAAGCCATGGTTTGAAATGGCAACTTGTGCAGTCAATAAAGCTATTAACATCTACAGACTTGAAATGGGTTCTACTTTTTATTTGCTGGTTTTCAATATAAATAGATAAATCTAAAAAATTAACATTAAGACGGCTAAAATCATATGTGAGGGTAATATCCCATTCGTTTAGGTTTAAAAACTATTTTAAAGGTTCCTCACTTCCGTTCCATATTATAAAAAATTTCATCTATATAACGTTTATAGAGGACCAGATTTGCCCCGAATTTCTCATTCGAGTCAATAAATAGGTCCTCCCAATAGGACATAAATAAGTTGGCAAAACTCGGGGCAAATCTGGTCCCCATAGCCGTACCTTTCATCTGCAAGTAAAACCTCTCCTCAAACCAAAAGAAATTATTTCTTAAAATCATATTGATTCCTTCTATAATAAAATCAATTTGTGACTCTGATACATCTCCAAATTTCTTTAAGAAGTGTGCAGCAGCCTCACATCCCTTCTTGTGTTGGATGTTAGTATAGAGGCTGCTTACATCACAGGTTGCCATAATAAAAGTGTCCCTCCACTTAAAATTATCTAAAATGTTTAAAAAAGACTCATAGTATCTTTAAGATATGCCCTACATTTTTTTACAGGGCCTTGTAAAAAATGATCGATGTATTGTGACAGTGGTGATAAGAGTGACCCAATTCCCGACACAATAGGTCTCCCCGGCGGATCTTCCACATCATTATGGATTTTGGGGAGGATATAAAAAAAAAACGGGGATCCTTGGGAACCTTACATTTAAAAAATCAAATTCTTTCTTGTTTAACATTCCATCCTCCAATCCTTTATTTAAAAATGTTTGATAAGTTACCAAGATATTTGTCAGAGGATTCTTGGAAAGTACTAAATAGGTGGTTTGGTCCTGTAACTGATTATATATCTCCTTTATATATTTTTCTCTTTCCCAGATAACTACTCCTCCTCCCTTGTCTGCCGGTTTTACCACAATGCTCCCATCATTTTGTAAATCCTTTAATGCATCTTTTTCTTTATTCGTAAGGTTGTTCTGATACTTATTTATAGGTTTAATTCCTCTGATCTCTTTAAGACATGTTTTTTCAAAAATCCTCATTGAGTCAGTTTTAAAATGTGCAGGGTAAAAGGTTGACTTATTTTTTAAACCTCTATGTTTAAAATAATTTTCTTCTTCACTAATATTAATAAGTTGCATTGTACTAAAAAAAGTTCCTTAGGCATAATTTCCTAGTAAACCTATTAAGGTCTAAAAATGATTCAAGTTTATTAATACTACAACTAGTTGCAAATTTAAAACCCTTGTTTAAAACCTGTGTATGTGCACTAGTTAACACCTTATTAGATAAATTAAAAATCCTAAAACTTGTTCCGTTTACTTTGGGTGTTATCTTCTCCAACTCCTCTCCTCTTTCATCCTTTTCTCTTCTTTTATGCTCTCTATTTCTCCCTCTTCTAGTTCTCTGCCTCGTTTCGTTGGAGTATATATTCCCTCTCTCCTCTCCCTTTTCCTTCCCAGACTCCTGTCTAAAAAAAGATGATCCTCTTCTAAATTCCTTAATCAATTTAATCTATTAGAGAGGTGGACATTAAAGGTTCTTGGTTTCAGTTCCTCTCTTCTATCCTTTCCTAAACGCTTTCCATATCTGACCTCGGTCCATTTATTATCCTCATACTTATTAGTCCTTTCTGGCTTTTATATTGAGTCTCATTCGTCCTTTGATTTGGAAAACTTTGATTAGAAGGTTCCTGCTTTCTCTCTCCTCTATGGGAGTTCGTAAAGCTAGCTGCTTGAAGAATTGGACAGCTGGGTATAGGTGCTCAATATCAGATTGCTTAGTCCTAGACAGAGTAAAGGTGAATTCAGCTGCCATCTTATTGGGTGATGCTAAAAATGTATTTTGGCAGATACTGCCACAACGTTGGAGCGAGCTGTAGGCCAGTCATAACCCCTCTGTCCAGGTAGGGGCTTCTAGACAAACCTTCTAGACGAGAGATCAGCCGTGACTCTCACCAAGCAACTAAACCAGGGATTATCGTCAGCAGCACAAAATGAAACCAGGTCGATCGACTTGAGTAGCCTCTACCGGCTTCTGGGACAGGTATGTCTTGATTTCTATTGTTCAAACAGACTGGTTTGCAGAAAAGAGAGCTTATAAAAGGTGTTGAGCTTAGAGCGGAGACAAAACACGACCAGCTGCCACGACGCTTAAAGGACCACTCTAGGCACCCAGACCACTTCAGCTTAATCTTCTAGGGTTAACCCAGAGAAACTGCTATAATTATGAATGGGTTAAGCCTTCCCCCTAATCCTCTAGTGGCTGTCTCATTGACAGCCACTAGAGGCGCTTGCGTGCTTCTCACTGTGATTTTCACAGTGAGAGCACGCAAGCGTTCATAGGAAAGCATTGTAAATGCTTTCCTATGAGACCCTGAATGTAGCGGCTCTTGCGCGCTTGTTCAGCCCGGTACATCGGGCGGTCGGAGGAGGAAGCTCTCCGCCCAGCGCTGGAAAAAGGTAAGTTTTTACCCCTTTCCCCTTCCAGAGCCGGGCGGGAGGGGGTCCCTGAGGGTGGGGGCACCGTCAGGGCACTATAGTGCCAGGAAAACGAGTATGTTTTCCTGGCACTATAGTGGTCCTTTAAGCCTTGCTCCCAATAACAATTTCTAGATCATGCATACCTACCTTATATTGTGCATCTCAGGCAATAAAAATATGAGAAAAAAAACAACAACTATGAAATGCTGAGACAAAATAATGCCAACAGCATGACAGAGTTAGAGAATTCTTCCAGATCAGGTATTTTTGGCTCTATTTTCCATTTAGATTTGATTAGTGAAAATTCAGTTTGGCAAATAGCCCTGTCAATGTCCAGGGAGAAACATTGTAATTGATTTATTTATGTCAGGACATAAATGGACATGTAGATTGGACTACCACATAAGTCCCCTAGCCAAGCACATAAAAAAAAAATGCACACCCCAGCACCAGTTTTTTCTTTTTCTTTACCTTATAACCCTTTGTTAAAGAGTGAAAACACAAAAACTTTATTATGTGGCCCTAACTTATTTATATGCAAACTGAAAATAGTGACACAATGCCCTTTTACTACCCCTGGTTACTTATTTGAAAATGACAAATACGCCACCAAAAGAGTTGGCAAGGTTGGCATCAGATTTCCTTTCTTATAAACATCTGTTCCTGTGTGTCCAACTAGTCTGGTTACAATGACGTTTGTCAGTGCACCCATTGTACAGCGCTGCGGAATTTGTTGGCGCTATTTAAAAAAAATATATAAAAATAAAAGATCTACAGGGGTTATCACGCCGCTCACGGGCAGGGCACTTCACCTTTTGTATTGGTCTGTTTATATTGTACCGTCTTTTTCCTAATTGTACAGCGCTGCGGAATATGTTTAATGCTTTATCAATGCCAGTCATTATTTTTATTATTATTAATTATGTATTATTTTTATTATTATTTATAATTCCGTAGCGCTGTACGAACTTAAGTTTCTTCCACAGCTATTGCCTCATATATAAAATGTAGAAACCAGAAAGAAAAAATAAATAAATTAATAATTAAACCAGCAACACGTGACCCCAGTTACTGCCTAGATCCCTGGCTGCTGCCTATGACTTTTCCTCTATATTTATTTACTGATAGGGCTTCACTTCCCTCTGTCAACCAATCACAAGCTTCCTCTGCCTTGTTGTTTATGCTGCTCTCTGATTGGTTGGCTCGCCTGTCACACAGGATTCTCACCAGGAGGAGGTCACAGCGAGTCCCGCAGCGCCCTTTGCTTGTTGGCGCATGCAGCAGTGAGCTGCCTAGTGATTGGATGCCACGCCCGCCGCTCACAAGTCTTGGCCCCGCCCCCGGGCCCTCTCTGTGTGTGTGTGTCAGTAGCGCTTCCCCTGACTCGGAGAGTCGCTCGCTCTGTATCGGGACAAGGTCGACGGGATAGAAAATGGGCACCAGGGACGACGAGTATGACTACCTGTTTAAAGGTGAGGAGGTTTGTCACGGGACGCGAGCGCCGTGGAGGGGCGGGGAGCTCTCCCTCCTGGGCCCTCAGTAGCTCACAGCTTCCTGCTCCTGGGATGTCACCTGAGGGAAACACAGTGACATGGACAGACCTGGCCTGGGCTGCGCTGGCAGCACACATAGCTCCCCAGGGTGTTTATATCTCGAATGGCTGTGTTCTAAACACAAGGGCTCCAGCGAGATAGAGTGCAACACAGCTCATCAGCTGTAAAGGGGGGCTGGGGGGTGGTATGTATCAGCTGGGGGCTTTCCATTCCTGGGCTATGGTCAGCACATAATTGGCTCACATTGGGCTTCTCAGATATTCTTCACTGTAGTTCCTCAAGTTACAGGGGTCCTCAAACTCCAGCTCCCTCCCCCACCCCCCCCAGATGTTGCTGAACTACAACTCCCATGATTCTCTGGCTATCTATGTAATTCAAAGCATCATGGGAGTTGTAGTTCAGCAACATCTGGGGGGGGGCGGAGTTTGAGGACCCCTGCGTCTAGTACTTGGCAGTCATGCTGTGCTTTATGGGGATTGTAGTCTGCAACATTTGAAGTGCCAAAAGATGAGCTGTCACTTTAAAAAATAATTTTTATATATATATATATATATATATATATATATATATATATATATATAATATGATACTAAGGTGCTTCAATCTTTTTTGTTACATAAGATATTTTACATAGGTGGCGCACACCAAAGTGTAAAGCAATCCTTTATGTCTTAAGTTACGTATACTTTTAAACATTTTCATATTTGATGTGGTCATTAAAAGGGTCAGTCTGAGCACAGTAACTATATTTTGCATGGAAGTAAAGTTTTATAGTGCAGAGAGTAGCCAGCACAGTTTCAGCTCTCAGAGTGACTGATTACTGCAGTAATTTGTAATGATCACTGCAGCTATACCATAGTACCTCAGAGCTGTCAGTCAGTAGCCAGTCAGTAACTCTTAGGTCAGGGCATTGTTTGTTAAATTTGCACACTGTATGCACAATTTGAACTGTGCACGCAGAGTGAGCTCTTTCCTTCCTGGACACAGAGCCAAATAGCTTCGGAGTGCTGCACACATCCTGGTTTGTAACTTTGAACTGGCCTAGCTGCTGTAGTATTGCTGAAATCCATTTTATAGAGCAGTTCTATTAATGTTATACCACTTAACTTATACACGCCATAGACCAGAAAGAAAGTATTATTATAGTTGGGTCCTCTTCCTTCTGAAAAAGGGTCTGCCTCTTTCGGACACTTGTTCCAATTAGTAGTATTTCAAAGGTAAATAATTTTTATTTTATTTATTGCACATTATTTTTAATATGCTATATAATGCATTAATACTACATGGCTATTTGTGTCAGTACTTTACTTTTAATTTGACTCACCCCAAAATAAAGAAAATAACTAAATTTATTTTCAAGCTAGTTTTATGAATAGGGAGTCACTGATCAGCTGACCGTTCTCGGCCAATCAGCGGTGACCCTGCGTGGTGGCACTCTGCACTTCCTGAAACTAAGATTCAGAAGCTGGATGCTGCTTGGTGGACGTGAGGATCTGCGAGAACGGTTGAACCCCTAAAGATAAGGGTGTGCCTAAGGCCTTCTTGCACCTTAACTTAATTTAGATGAAGTTGTTATGGTGCTTAAACTTTGTATCTGCAGCTCTTCATAGTTTAATGCTGTTCATGTAGACTACAGGCACCAGGACTACTTGTAATAAGTGAAGTGGTCATGGTGCTTGGAGTTAACTTTTTTAAGGGTCACTCTATACACTCTTAAGCATACCTAACTATATTGCAAACTGTTAGTCTCTCTCCCTGTGACTTAAAAGTGTAGCAGTTTTCTCTGCAACTAAAATATTGACCCCCGTGGATCCATAACAGCAAAATCGCAATCTATCTGGAGATTGCCAAGACACTACCCTGCCCTTGGTCTTCTTTGATAGTAGCTATAGTATGGCTGTCAGCATATTCAAAAGTTCCACAATGATAATTGGAAATGGTCTTAATTACATATAAAACACCGCTGATGGACAAGAGTATATGGACCAGAATATAAGGATCCTGATGAGGGAAACCTCATCCTGTTGTATGACTCTTCTTGGAAAAGTATTCAATAGCAAAAATGTTTGTGACATTATTTTCTGTTGCATGACATTCATACTGTGGTGTTGATATGCAGTTTCTGAGTAAAGCATTGTGGCAATGCCTAGAGTTTATCACAAACTTTATGTATCTTCTGATGTGGCCTTTGATCAGTTTTGTGATAACAAATTTAAAGGCATAATAATCTGTTGCCTCTTGTCTGCCATTATGTCAAACTACTTGTTACACTTGCAGATTATTGACCTTGGTTGTTTACAGCACTCTATTATACCTTTAGAAAGCTTGTTCGTATACCTACATTTCTAATTGCCTTTTTGTGTTTTTGTTTTGAATTCAAAATATTCTGGAACCATCATAATTGACTGTACACAAATATTTATCTATTAAAGAAAAACACTCCAACCACTGCAACCACTACAGGTATTCCTTGGTGCCATTCCTCCGTAAGAGTTCAAAAAAGTTACAGTAAAATAAACTGACAATTTAGCTGCCTCCCACGGCCAGATCGATTACCGCAACCAGTTCAATGTTTTCCCATAAGAGGCTAGAGTGTATGTATGGCAAAATTCTGTAATTTGCCAATCAGATGGTGTCTGTGAGGCATTCTGATAGAAATATCAGTTTCACTTGTCTGCTCCTGCATAAATGCCTCTAGTGACTTGTCTGGGTGACAGCCACTAGAGACATTTAATAACCCTGCAAAGAAAACCTTGCCATTCACGCAGAATGGCAGTGTTTTTACTTACAAGGTTAAAAGGGGGTGGGGGTGAACCTGACAGTGACCGAACATCCTGGACAAATAGCTCTCACACCCTATACTCCCATCCTCATTACAAACCAAGATAGGAAAATGGGAAGGGGGGTTGTACCAAGTGTACATCGGTGGGGGCTCTGAAATGGCATCTCACACTAAGCGTTAATGTTGAGTGATGGCTGAGACCCATGGGGAAAAAAAGGTGAGAGGCATACATAATACGCACGAAAGTGGGTGGGACTGAGAGAGAGAGAGAGAGAGAACAGACCGAAGTTAAGTCCAAGGTATATGTTAAAATACACATAAATGAAGATAAATAGAAATCAGTTAAGCAACAGAGATAAAGTGGACTTGCAAAGTGATAGTTTTATGCATAAAGTGAGAAAAATCTGAGAGATTTATTAAAAGAGAGGAGAGACTCAGACGATGGGAAAACCAACTGGGCCAGGGCAAATAATGACTTTTGTTAATGACTTTCCAAGCGCCAAAACCACTACAGCTCACCAAAGTGGTTATGGTGCAAGGCGTGCACTGGCATCATCCCTGGGTAAGTAGTCAAATTATTTAAGAATAGTTTGGCAACTTCTCAGGGGCCCACTGGCCACCTCCAGGGAGGTATTCATTGAGATCCCTCATTGCAGGACTTGACTTAGGTTGGCTAAGAAACTCATTGCAGGTACAAGTTTAGACTCCTTACACTGGGATGGTGCAGGGGCAATCTTTGCACCTTAAAGGAACACTATAGTGTTGGGAATACAAAACTGGATTCCTAACACTATAGCAACCTTCTTTCCCCCCTCCCCCTTTGCAGTGGCTACTTTGTGAACTCTTGCTGTAGTGTTGATGCTAAGCCAAAGTTAGTGTAGTAAAATGTATAATTAATACTGACAGGGTTATTTGCTAAACAAGCAATATTTTTTTCCCAAATGGAAACTGAGACAAAATGGCTGATGCAGGAAAATTCTCCAAACTGAACATTGGCAACATATATATTTGTTCCTGTTCTCTTGGTTACCATGCAATTGACATGTATTCTTGTAAGTATATTTTTAGAGTAAAAGGGGTGAAGTATTTTAAACCGTGAAGAAAGTGTTAATGCCAGCATGTTGTATTTTTTTTTTTTCATTCTATTTTTATTTTATTTAGCGAGGTGCAATATGTTTATGCAAATTAAGCACTCTTTATAGAAGTAGACTAAAGTTTCAGTTCCTTGTAATTTTTTTGTTTTTGTTTTGTTTTAACTTGTTTCTTTTACATTTGGCACTTATGTGCCATAACAGTCAAATGTTAATAAATATATTATTTGTTTTTCCATTTATCACATTATACCTTTTTACATATATATTTTCAAAATTCTGAATAAAAAATATGAAATGTTGGTGGCTAGCTGAGAACCTGACAAGACGTGTTGGAGTGGAGCTCCGCTTAAGCATACCACTAAATTGCCGAAATTGCCACAATATCAAGTTGATGCAATCCATCAGATGGATAATACTCACTGCTGAATCGCCCGCTAGAGAGATGGGGCACAAAAACCACAAGTTATCCCACCTTGAAGGCTCCAATCTGCCCGATTTTATTTGATAGGCCGCTGCAGTTATCACAACCTAAGATGGCACCCGGGAGACTTACAAGCTCCAGCGAATCTAATGCATCCTCCTGGTGAGGAATTCATACCCCCTTGGACAGCAGGTGGGATACACGGACGGCCTCGGACTCTGACACCTCACCCTCCACAAAATGAGATATAAAAAAGCTGCTCCTAGACCGAAAAGAGGTCTGGAAATCAGACCTGGACGGGGTGCGCACAGAGATGAGCAGCCTCACAGTGCACATTGGAGCAGTTGAAACTAGAGAGGGGGAGAAAACTGGGCGCTTACTGAGACTAGGTCACAAGTGGAAACCTTAACCACACAAATACAGAGACTTACGCGCACGGTAACGACACTTGAATCCCGTCACTGCAGGAGAAACATGCTCATTTGCAGAGCACCTGAACTATAGGCAAGGAGACCATGCTTGAGTACACGAACAGTGGCGGTAGCGATGGTGGTGAAGTACAGAGGCACATTTCCCATCATATCAGCATTACGGATCCGGAAAACACCAACTGCAGATGCTCCCAGGGACATTATTGCTGTTACCAGGGACATATCCGTTAAGGCCACCATGTTAGCCCACTCCAGGAGCACACCCACAAGCACTGTGGACACTGTGTATCGTTTGTTCACTTTTTAAAATATGTGGAAAACATGCCATTGCTAATTTCTATTGATTCCACAATATAAATAAAGAATTTAAAAAAAACAAAAAAAATATGAGGCGGGAGGGAAGACTTTGCTCACCAATAATCTGCACTGAACGCAATACACCATAATGTATGCTTTCACGAGCGGCTAGCTGAGTGACTGCTTAGTTTACCTCTCATTTTCTATCCTAAACCAGCAGCACATTGTCTGAAAGCCATAGTGCAAAGGCAGAGACGATGCTACAGTTATAGCTAGGATGTGCAAAAGAAATATGGGAACGTCTAATAGAAAATCTATTAAAAATTCCTCAGTTATACAAGAAACTAATGGAATAGTCTGACAACACCCTACTGAAATCTTATGAGCTTCCACTTAAAAGCCCATATGCAAAATAAGTGAGAATAAACTAGATAGAATCCAGTTAAGAATCAGGAGTGTAGTACTGATGGGGTTAATGAGTATAATATGAAAGCAGTACTAGCAATAGTGGGTATACAAATGTGCATGCAGAATATTTAAGAAAAAAAAAAATTAGAATATTAAAATCCAGCCAACAATGTGAATATTAAAATTAAACCAACAATACAATTAAGTGAATACAGTCCTGTTATGGATAAGTGCATAAATGTAACGGTGTAAACAAATAATAATGCACCATAGTAGAAACCATGTAGTCTGTCCACCTGAGTGAGAGGATTTCAGCTAGAAATATAGCTGTGATGACTAGCAGGCTGATTTGATATAGTACTACAGAAGGTCCTTGATGTAAAAGTACAAAAAGAAACACTAATAGATCACTGTGAAAGATCTATAGTGACAGGATCCTCACTGCGATCTGAAATACAGAATAAACAGCCATAGTGCTCGCTGTAAAATCAGTAATTACCGAAATAAAGAGTAAAAACTGGCATAGAGAGGATAGTCGGGATAGAATCTTGAAGTGGATCGGTAATTGTCCTCACTCTTGCCGGCTCGGAGATGGTGATGTAAGGAGGCTTGATAAGAGCTTTCCGTGTGCATTCCACTAAGAACAATAACAGAATGGTCGTGCGACAGATGCCGTAAAGCAAGCATGTCAAACTCGCAGGCTGCATGTGGCCCATAATGAATATTTTTGCGAGCAGTGAGTTTGCCATGCTTACTAAAGCAGAGTAGGCACCTGCTCTCCCCACATTGCAGGTGCCTACTCTGCCAAAAGTACCCGACCTGAGAGCTCCTTGGCGGCAGTGAGGGAGCTCAGACTTCTTGCTCCTAGCGCGCCCTCTGTAGTGGTACCGGAATATGACCTAATTCCGGCATCACTAAACTGTGCGCGTGAGGGAGCAGGAACACAGCTCCCTAGAGAAGACCAGTGAAAGGCCCCACACCAGCTCCCAAAGGTAGTGAGCAATAAATAAAATTGTTCGTGTTTTTCTGTCAGTGTTGCAATGGTTGCTGCCAGACAGTGGAGGACCTGGAGGTGCATGGGAGGCATGCAACGCCATGTCACATTATGACATGACTTCAACGTGCTTCACCTTCACAGGTTTTCAACAAAGGCTGGGATTTAGTATAGATGGGTGTGTGTGTGTTTTTTTTTTTTTTTTTTATACTGTACTTTTCAAAACAAACCTAAGTTTCTATGTAAATTTAAGGTTTGTTTTTTTTGCTGCCCACATAAACTTAAACCTTGTTTATGTGGCCCGTGCTAGCCTTTGAGTTTGACATGCTTGCTGTAAAGCCTTACGCGTCTCTTGAACTATCTGTTCATTTCATCAGAGGCTGGCATCTGAGATCTGTCTGTGAATAAATAGCCGTAGGGAAGTTCGCGGCCGAGAATCTTAACCCATAAAAGTGCATGTTTTGAAATACAGCTTCTTTTATACATACTTTAAAATCCGTAAATAAATCCTATATGTGTAAAAACCAATAATAATAAATGTTGATGAAAGACCAATGCTAGAATATTGAAAATAGAGAGAATTAATAGCTGAACTTATGGACCTCTTAGAGTCCAGAGCTGAATGAATAAATAATTTAGGCGGAAATCCATATAAAATTACAATAATCATTAAAGGATCACTATAGTGTCAGGGAAACCAAATCGGTTTTCCTGACACTATAGTACCTTGAGGGTGCCCCCACACGTGGTGCTAAAACCCCTTCGGTTACTTCAGTTACTCACCTTATTCCACAGCCGGGCTCCTTTACCTCTCCTCCAACGCCGATGTCCGCTCCCCCCCGTCTGACGTCAGCGGAGCAGAATGCGCATGTGCGGCAGTGCGCACATTCAAAGTGTCCATAGGAAAGCATTTCTCAGTGCTTTCCTATGGATGCTCTGCGTGATGGAGGGATAATATGCCTCCAGTGTCGCAGATGTGCCTCTAGTGGCTCTCCGGAAGACAGCCACTAGAGGCTGGCTTAACCCCAAATGTAAACATAGCAGTTTCTCTATAGGGTCAGGAATACATGTTTGTGTTCCTGACCCTATAGTGCTCTTTTAAGATATTCTGCATGCACATTTGTATACCCACTATTGCTTGGACTGCATTCATATTATACTCATTAACCCCATCAGTACTACACTTCTGATTCTTAACTGGATTTTATCTAGTTTATTTTTTCTTATAGCTCGGCTATGCTCGGGCACGGAGGTACACACAACACTATAAAGTACACTTGCAGGTGTGCGTTCCTGACCAGAAATTCCTGCAAGGCCTTCAGACGACCGACTCTGGTGTGAGCCACTGTTTGATTTAGGATTAACTTTTTTCAAAGAACTTTGGTAGCACATAAATGGAATCCAGCTGATATGTAATACTTGGTTCTCTAGTTTTGCCAAATAATGACCCTAAATTTCAAAATTCGACTATCTTGAAAGCTTGCTCTAAATAAGCATTGCTATTGTTGAACTTACAAAAATGCTGTTTTGTGGTTTCAATTCTGAAATGATCCAGTAACACTATATATATATTTATTATTTATTTTTGCAGACTGCTGAGTGAGCTTTCATGCTTTCCCTCCTCTTCCACTAAGCTGTTTTTTTGTGTAAACAGCTCAGTATAGTGATTGTATTACCAATAATTTCTGGGTGCTTTCCACAATTTGTCAAATCATTTGTCAGCGATTTCCCCCTCCTAAGCCACATAATAATGTGGAAATTAAAATTTCTGCATTAATATCCATTTTATCCAATCTGGGCACCAAGCGGAGAGTGCTGGAAGTTGTTGTATCGTTTTTTGTTTTTTCTTTTTTTTTCCTCAAACCAACAAACACTAGAATAACAAGTGGAGTTATACACTAAAATAAGAATTTAAAGTGAATTTCAAATTTAAAGGAGCACTATAGTTGCCAGAACAACTACAACTTGTTCCAGTGTCTAACCTGTTCCTGAAGGTTGTTTTTATTTTTTTATGTACACACTGCCTTTTCAGAGAAATTGCAGTGTTTACATTACTGCCTATAAACACTTAGTGGCAGTCACTCATATGTCCACTAGAGGTGCTTCTTGGGTCAGTGATGCACAAAGTGCAGCACTGACGTTCAGGGTCTCCACGCTTTGCATGGAGGCGCTGAACATTTTCGTAGAGACGCAATGATTCAGTGCATACCTATGAAGACATGCTGATTGGCACAGCCTGGCATTTTGACGCACATACTCAATAGTCTCCCATTGCTTTCCTGTGGGGGAGCATTGGATTGGCTAAGATCAGCAAGTTTGATGATCTCAGGCAAGGAAGTAGGCGTAGCCTGCCGTGGCAGACCCAGCGGCACTGGAATAAAGATAAGTTTATTACCTTTTTAAAGAGTACCAAGGGGGTTGGGGCCTAAACTGAGTTTTTAACACTATAGTGACAGTAATACATTGCGAATTCTGTCTCTATAGTGTTACTTTTAAAGTTGAAATGCCAAACTGGAAATTCTGTGTTAAATTAGTAATTACATTTTACGTTGATATGAATATCCCTGTAAATCTTTTCAATGCATAAGGGGAACAAAACATCAACAACAACAAAAATAAAATCTCCCTATTGCCCTGTGAGATCTGTATTTATTTTTTTGCAGTTTTTGCTCCATTGTACATTTAAGCCACTTACAAATTTGGAGGAATCTTTGGAAACATCTTTTAGAGTAAGGGATTATTTGTACTGTGTGATTTACACTGCCCTACCATCTTTTCTTTGTGTTTATTTTTTTTCGGGGCATTACTTAGGGTACATTGGCAATGTAATAACCACAGATGACATAAGCAGTCTTACAATACCTGTTATGACAAGTAGTGCTTTATCATATCTGTTGCATTAGAAGAAATGTAAGATTAAATAAAAAATGAGATGACCATATACCTGTCTGTGTCACGAGAGATGCAGTCCCTCAGTTTTGCCATCACTGATAAATGGTATACGGTGACTAAAAGACCTAAATGAATATTGGCAAGAAGTCTTAAACCCTTAAGGGCGGAGGCAATTGTACAATTTCTGAATAAAAACAAAACCTGGGATTTGACATGTCTATTAATCCATAATTTAACTATTTCATATTAAGTGCCCACACTTAATATAAATATATATATATATATATATATATATATATATATATATATATATATATGTGTGTCTATAAATTGATTCAGGAGAAACAGGGCTTTCATTTCACATCAAATATATGAATACCTAATTTTAAAATGAATAAAATCCAAGAAAATGTGAGCAGTAAAGTTATTTTCTTAGTTCTGCATGGCATTTTAACTGTCATACTTTTAGTTTTTACTGAAATAAAACAATTCTAGTTATCCCCCTTCTCTCCCCCCAAATATGGGGCTTGCACATTAAATTCTCTGGACTTTTTTCCTGGGTTGTTGGGTATGTCCCCCATATAATTAGTAAAATTACATAATTATGCTGAACTAATACATAAATATACACGTAGAATTACATTTTCATATAAAGTGTGTGTGTGTGTGTATATATGTATGTATGTATGTATGTGTATATATATATATATATATATATATATATATATATAATATATTATACTCTGCCTGACAGGCCAGGCTGTCCCCCTGCAGGCAATCTATCAATCATGGAGATCCGAGTCATGTGATTGAGGTGTCATCCCGATCACATGACTTGGGTCGCTGAGATCGCATGCAGGGGGACATCCTCGGTCACAGTCAGTGTCGTTTCTCCCCTCCCTATCTGATCCGGCAAGGAGGGTAAGTAAATAGTATACGGGCTGCAGGGAGGAGAGCCGGATATCGTTTTATTGGACGGCATGGCAGGTCCTTGCGTCGTACTCCGGGAATGGGTTGTGACAATTCTATTTGCATGTTCACAACTCTATCTTTGATTGCAATGCAAAATGTACATGATCTCTAAAAAGCTTACAACTTTGTTTACGTTTTTTTTTTTTCTTGTAGTGGTTCTGATTGGAGACTCTGGAGTGGGGAAGAGTAACTTGCTGTCTCGTTTCACTCGCAATGAGTTCAACCTGGAGAGCAAAAGTACCATTGGGGTGGAATTTGCAACTCGGAGCATCCAAGTTGATGGCAAGACCATAAAGGCACAAATTTGGGACACAGCAGGACAGGAAAGATACAGAGCCATCACATCCGCGTGAGTTTCTCTTTTTTAATTCAAGGGACAATACAACCATCATTATCACCTTACCTATTAAGTTGTTGTAGAACTAACGTTGCTTGGATGAACCAGTCATCACCCCAGAGTTATTGTCATTTGGGAAAGCATAGCTGCTTCATTCAGTTGTTCAAAAAACGTGTTCAGTCGTTGGCCCCCTGAAGATACATTCATACGTTGAATTCAAGACTTCTCAGTGAGTGCACACCTGAAAGGTTATTCATTGAGTGAGTATTGAAAGTGAATTCAAAGTGAAATTCAAATTAAAAATTCAAATTAAATTCAAATTAAAAGTCAAATTAGCTAAACTAGAAAAATTCTGCAAGTGAGCTGTACTTTCAGATGATTACTCCTGTCCTTAACCCCTTAAGGACACATGACATGTGACATGTCATGATTCCCTTTTATTCCAGAAGTTTGGTCCTTAAGGGGTTAAAGGACCACTATAGTGCCAAGAAAACAAACTTGTTTTCCTGGCACTATAAGGTCTTTAGGTCTCCCCCACCCTCAGGGTCCCACTCCCGCTGGGCTGAAGGGGTTAAAACACTTGCCTTTCTCCAGCACCGGGCTTCCTCGGCGCTGGGGAACTTTCCTCCTCTTGCAGACGTCCGCACCGAATGCGCATGCGCAGCAAGAGCAGCGCGCGCATTTAAACAGTCCATAGGAAAGCATTTCTAAATGCTTTCCTATGGACGTCCAGCGTCTTCTCACTGTGATTTTTCACAGTGAGAAGCGCAGAAGCGCCTCTAGCGGCTGTCATTGAGACAGCCACTAGAGGCTGGATTAACCCTAGTGTAAACATAGCAGTTTCTATGAAACTGCTATGTTTACAGCTGCAGGGTTAACACTAGGGGGACCTGGCACCCAGACACTTCATTGAGCTGAATTGGTCTGGGTGCCTACAGTGGTCCTTTAAATTTGAAACTCACTTTGAATTCTCTCTTTAGTAAATATCCTTGCTAGTGTCCAGATTATTTATAGGACCACTAAAGTCATCCAGAGCATTTCATGTCAATGAAGTGCAGCCATCCACTAGAGACACTTCTACTGTAAAAATCATTAACTTGGCATTGCAGCTCATTGGAAAGCTTTGAATTTAATGCTTTCAAGAGAAACATTGGATACGCATATTGCATTCACTACAAAAGCTCATGAAATCCCCAATGCGACTGTATGAGGAAGTTGTCTCATCGATGATGACGCAGGAGGCGTAGTGGCCAGCATCTTTAAGGGAGTCTCTACTAGGGATCGACCACAGCAAGCTCTTACCTTCCCAGCAGCTCCTTTCAGCTCTCCTGTCTAAATCTTGCGAATCCCACGACCGGCAGAGTTGCCATGGGTTACAATGGCAATGCTCCACGCGGCACGCAGACTGTGAGATTTAGACAGGGGAGCTTCTGGGAAGGTAAGTAAGAGCTTGCTGGGCCCCCCACTGCACAGTCCATGCCACCGGACCACTAGGGAATGCTATATCCCTCTCCCTGGCCAGGTAACAAATCCATCATTTTACACACACCACACAAACACTCTACATTCACTAATCAAATGCTCTCACTGCATCCACTACACACAAATATATTCTTGAAAATATAACAAATTCTGACTGGCATGTATATTTTGTGCATTTACCTTAAAAAAATAAAATAAAAAAAAATTGCCAAAAAACATGTTCAGTTAAAAGTAGAAATAGTTTTGTGGGGTTTTTGTTTTTTTTTTTAATGGTAAATGTACAGAATATTGGTAAGTTATCGGCCTGAAAGTTCACATTATTGGTATCTGCTCTAAAAAATCAATATCGGTCGATCCCTAGTCTCTAGGTTGGAAAATGGTAAGTAAAGAAAGCTCTCAAGCTCTTATTCGTTAAAGTGGTATTTGACAAGATTCCATTCACTCACACCATTTTTATTCTGTTTTATTTATTAATTTTCCTTTTCTGCTCTCTGATATTACAAGGTTGCATTGCATGGGATTTTGTGTTTATGACCTTTTTTTATTTAAGGCAAAAGTATTTATTTGAAGATGCAGTTACTCCTCTTTATTATGTAGTTTGTCCAAAGCGAACAATTCTAAATGTCCAAACTAAATATTAATTCCGTCTCCTAGTTATTACAGGGGTGCTGTGGGTGCTCTCCTGGTTTATGATATTGCCAAACATCTGACATATGAAAATGTGGAGCGCTGGCTTAAAGAACTGAGAGATCATGCAGATAACAACATAGTTATAATGCTGGTTGGGAACAAGAGCGACTTGCGTCATCTCAGAGCGGTCCCAACAGATGAAGCACGGGCTTTTGCAGGTACTATCCTTTTTAGAAAAGTATTACAAGTCTTTAGTTTGTGTCAGCACCAGTTTAGCTATGGCCTGGTTTTTATTCTCTTGCTTCTGGGAACACCAGAAACAACTGCAGAAAGTGTAGCACCATACCAGCATCAAACACTAACTGTGGGCGTTTTATTAGAACACTAAGTCGAGGAGGAAGTGTTACCAGTCAGCCTGGTGAATATGCGCATGCCACTCGGACACATCCTCTTTTGAGGTTTTTTTGTCATTTGTTATATAATTTGCAACCCACCTTTTTACCTACACCCATACTCTTCCCATTTGCTCATTTCACAATTTTGGTAGGTATGCTTTTGTATGACACAAGTTTAGATATGAATAAAAAAGATCCTTTGTGATAGGTACAATTTATCCCATTTAATCGGTGTGGAGAAATAACTGTATAGTTAAAGGGACCCTCTAGACATATAGTTGTAGAGAAACTGCAATGTTTACATTGTAGGGTTAAGACTGATTCTAGTGGCAGTCTTCCAGACGGCCACTAAAGGCACTTCCTGCAGTTTCACAGAGTTTGACCACGTGAAACTAAACTGGATGTTCATTTTGTTGAAAATCCCCATAGGAATTAATTGGTTCTTTACTTTCCTGTGGGGGAAGGCCTAATGCGACTGCGACCTGCGCTGAAATCAGGTAAGTGTTTGTTTAAAGGGTTTATCAAATCTTTACGTGGATGGGGGGTGGAGAGACACTATAGTGTTAGGAATATAATGGTGTATTCCTAACACTATAATTTCTTTAATGTATGTGTGTAAATATAACTTGCTGTGTGTGGGTTATTTCCAGTTAACTGATCTACATGTGCACGGATAAGATCACATCAAAAGGGGAAACTGCATAGCATCAGATGGAAATTAACCCCTTAACGACGAGTGATGGATGAGGTCTGTCACTCAGGGGATTGCCATAACGACGAGTGACGGACCTCGTCCGTCACCCATTAAAATTAACCCCGGATCGCCACGATCGCGAGGTTAATGGTGCTCTGGTCTGCCTCTGTATTAGAGGCAGACCGGGAGCACCTGATAGTGCTGCCCGAGCACATGTGCTTCATATAGTCACCTTCCGCCTCCCTGCACTTCCTAGTTTTGTGTGAAGTGCAGGGAGCCGGAACAGTGACGATCCCGCCCCCTGTGTAAAAACAATAAAGTTAATATAAAATCCATTTTATTAAAAAATTAGCCCCTTCCCTGCCAATTGATCACTGACTACAGTGATCAATTGGCAGGGATTATATTTTACTGTCATCTGATTTTTTTTTTTTTTTTTCAGGTGTTAAATTTATTTAATTTAAATATTTTCAAATTATATATTTAGCTAGCTGGGGTGGGTGGAAGTTAGTGGGGAATTGGGGGATTTTGTGTTAGGCTAACTAGGGGTTAACATTAAAAAAGTTTTAAAATAAACTTTAAAAAGTAAAAAATTAAGCTAAAAAAAAGTTTTAATAACGTTTAAGTAAAAAAAACACCCCCCTTTACCAAGTCCAAATAAAAATTAACCCCTTCCCTACCAGTCGATCACTGCCTACAGTGATCAAAATACAGATCACAGTTTTAAACTGTGATCTAATTTTCTTTTTTTTTTAACCCCTGAGGATTAACTTTTATTTATTTTTTGAACCCTCAGGGGTTCAATTAATTTAATTAATTTCAATATTTTATAATGATATATTTTTGCTAGCTGGGGTGGGTGGGAGTTATGGGAAAATGGGGAAGTTACTGTTAGTGCTGCTCATTGCTAGTTAGGGGTTAACGGTAAAAAAGTAAAAAAAAGTTTCAAGAAGTAAAAAATTACATTTAAAAACTCTCATTACCACTACACCTGGAACAAACTAGAGAAAAAATGATCCTACGCTAAGGTTCAAAATATGCTTTTTGAATTACCCCAGGGTGTATTCTTTAATAAATAGTATGTGTTTGTGGGGAAGTTTCAATAACCAACCGTCTAAACTACTCCAAATTGGAACATGGACACAGCGTAAAACTTCAAAGTTAGAAAAAAACTGAATGGCTGCATCTCAAATGCTCCCCTTCAACATCCACATATACCTGGCAAAGGTACATACTTTGGTATTGCTGTACTCAGACGACATAGCTGAGCAACATATGAAGTATTATACAGTCGTAGCACACATAAGGTTTGCAACATATACTGTGCTAACTCACTTTGTGTGTCAAAAAGGGAGGAAAAACACTTGTTACCACTACACTTGGTACAAGCTAGCGGGAAAATGATCCCACACTAGGGTTCAAAATATACCCTGGGGTGTCTACTTTAAGAAATGGTAGGCCTTTGTGGGGTAGTTTGAATTTAAACCCTGCTAAGATGCTTGGAAATTGCACATAGGCCCAGCGTAAAAATTCAAAGTTCGGTAAAAACTGATATGGCTTGGTCTCCTATATGGCACTGTGTAGCTTCACAAAATAGTGCCAGAGACATTCATTGGGGGTGTCTTTTTACTCAGGAGACTTAGCCGAGCATAATTTGGGGGGTTTGAACTTAGTGACACATGTGAAATATACAAAATGCCCAGCAAAAATGCAATCCATATGTAAAACACGCACAAAATTATTTATCACATACTTAAGCATATATGGGTGAAAAAATGGGGGCATGTTAAGGCACAATATGCACCTTATGAGATACCATGGAGTGTCTACTTTTACAAATGGTAGGCCTTTTGTGGGCTTTTTTGAACAGTCAAACTGTTATAATACCCCAAATGGAAGCATAGGCTCATTAAATCCGTCTATCAAAATTCTATTGTGAATACTGAAAAGAACAGGCCTCCTATATGGCACTGTAACTTCACAAAATAGTGCCAAAGACATACAATGGGGGTGTCATTTTACTCAGCAGATGTAACTGAACACAAAATAAAACTTTGTACAGGAATAGCACTCACCAGCTTTACAAAATACACATGATAATCTTTGTTATAAGTTTGTGCGCCAAGAACCAAAAAAAACCCACAATTTTACTCCAATATTTAGCAGAGGTTGGCAGTGAAATGGCTGCGTAGAAAGTGTCAAAACAACCCTAGGTAAATAGCCTGTGATGTCTACTTTATATAAATATATACTTTTGTGTGGCAATTTTGTTTTCTTTTATGGCTATTAAGCTTACAAGACAAACATACCAGATTCTAAAATTGCTCCACATTAAAAGTTTATTTTACTCCTTGTGCTTTGTGACCTGTAACTACCAAAAAAACTTAAAATCCCAGACACATTATATATTCTGTAAATCAGAACAACTAAATGAATTTATTTTGAATTATTTTCCTTAACCTGCACTAATTATGCACACATTATTATTGCAAAAACTGTAAAAAAATAAATAAATTCATTTTTCTGCATTTTTTTTTTTTTTTATAATAAATGAGCATATATGTGTGTTACATCAAATTAAAGCCATTTCTGTCCTTTAAAAAACAATATATAATATGTGTCGGTGCAATAAATGAGTAAAATGCAAATTGCAGTTAAACGCAAACAGCAAAAAATGAAAATGCTGTTGTCATTAAGTGAAAGACAAGCTTCTGAAGCTCTGTCTTTAAGGGGTTAATAACCCAATTTGTGTACAAATATTTACGCAAAAGATCCTAAAGCGTGTGAAAATGTTACATTTCCTTTGTTTATTGGGTTGGAAAAATATCATGTATACATAAGTTTGTAATTTGGCGCCCTCTAAAAGGATACATTGATGCCTAGAGTTGGCAATCTAATTGGGAGATTTAATTTGACAACTGCAGATGATCCATGCTGTAGGCTTCAGAAACATTTTATGCAAAAAGTGGTCACTAAATGCAGAGTGGCAACTGAATTTCGATTGTCACATTCTGATTAGAGAGTTGTTGGGCTGAAGCTGTCGGTTTCTCAGAATTTTCAGGGACTTGGAAGGATATTTATTTTCTATTTCTCTTGTGTGGTTGTGTAGTAGATCAGTGTGTGAATATAGTTACATTCCATCCCATTCACAAGACCACTATCTCAAAAAGAACATTCTATTCTATCCCAATCTTAGTAGTACATGCTCTTCCTGTCCCTTCCTCTCGAGGGGTACCAGACAATTTCCAGTACTAGCAGAAGTACATATTTTCCTTCCTTCCCCTTTATCAATACCAGTATCCAAACCCCCTTCACTTTTATGTTCATCTTTCCTCTCATTGGGGCTCTTTCCATTGTTAAAGATTTAGTCCTCCCTTTTTTTTTAGCACTGCTGGTGGGGAGTCGTCATCCTTGTTTTATTGCAGTGTTAGAAGTAGCACCAGTGTGCTCCATGTAGCACTGACCTGTATATCTCCCTGGGGCTGGTAGAGGCTCTGGTCCAGGAGCCATAGCTGGGTTCTCTCTGTAGCATGCAAGCCACAGATGCAATAATCTCTGTTTTGGACACATAACCAGGGCTTAATCTCCACTATGAAATGTGAGACTGCTTGGAAATTTAGTGTCATGCCTTATATTTAACATGAAATCTAAAAAAAATTAAATGTGTTTTTTAGGAATAAAATTTAAATGTATTATCTATGTGGCTGTATTTATCTTTATGGAACAGAGTACCTCCATCTCAGACACTGTGAAGTTTTACATAATCAAGTGTACTGTTCTTAAAGAACCACTATAGGCATGCAGACCACTTCAGCTCAATGAAATAGTCTGGGTACCAGGTCCCTCTGGTTTTAACCCTGCAGCTGAAAACATAGCAGTTTCAGAGGGTTAATCCAGCCTCTAGTGGCTATCTCACTGACAGCAGCTAGAGGCACTTCCGCGATTCTCAGTGTGAAAATCTGTGAGAAGACGCTGACAACCTTAGGAAAGCATTGAGAAATGCTTTACTATGGGCGGTTGGAATGCGCGCGTGGCTTTTGCCGCGCATGTGCATTCGGGTCGGACGTCGGCAGGGGGAGGAAAGGAGCCCGGTGCTGGATAAAAGATAAGTGGCTGAATAAGTTTTAACCCCTTCAGCCCAGCGGGAGGGGGCCCTGATGGTGTGGGGGACCTAATGACCCTATAGTGCCAGGAAAACGAATTTTTTTTTTTTTTCTGGCACTATAGTGCTCCTTTAAGTGATCACATGCATAACAGTGGGCCCAACAGGCACATTGTCTCTTTTTCCTGTTTGTACATGTTTCCGAACAGAGATTTTTTATGCCCAAACGCTTGCTTCCTCTCTTTTAATCCAATGTGTGCTAAACCTTTAATATACAGTACATGTAGAATAAAACTGTGAAAGAAAAAAGGTTAACACAAGTGCTGTGATATAACCTCCTCACCCCCCTCTTTCTGTTCTTCTTTGTACTGTGGTGTAATTTTCAGAGAAATTATAGTTTCTCTTTGACATCTATAGATATTGACCATTCTTGCTTTGGTTTGCGTAGTTGTGTTAAGGAAATTGATTATATGATTTGATACAGTAATTGTCTGTAACAGATAAAGGCTACACTTTGATGCTACACAAATGATGGAAAGAGAAAAATATCACACCTTCACACCCTGATATGTGGGTTCGAAGCCACAGCTTGGAGAGTGCTGCTTGTAAAAGAAAAGCCTTGATGTGGGGGAAAATCCCATACTATACAGCTTCTCTTTTCAGTGGATGTAAATTATAATATTACTCTATTCACCCTCTATGCTCTGCTTTGAGTGTTATTTCTGTTTAACACACGTAATACGTACAGATTACAGTAGAATTTAAAAGACCGTCAGAATTTGTAACTGTGACGTAAAAAATTAATTACATGAAGTACACCCCTCCCCCTTTATATTCCTACCACACCTAGTTTACTAAAAACTTTTGTCCGCTAAATTTGACTTGGAGACTTCCGACGCTAAGCACCATGACCGCTGCAGCATATTGCTATTATGTAACTGAGACTTATGCACTATCAATGTCAATTTTGTCTAAATTAGGATTCCAGGATTTGCAGTGTGCCAGCTGACATGCTCAGCCAGTAAATGCAGTCCTAATATTGACCTATTTGACATTGTTATTGAGTAGATGTATTCATGCTCCAGGGTCATGAAGGAACTATTTTTCACTACACCGCAAACCAGAACACCTTGACTACTACCACTTCCCTTGCTCTTATCAAGAGTGAGAAGTAAAGGGACCACTCAATACCTCTGTCCCTATCATCTAATGCTTAAGCCGTCTGTTTCTGTGGGATGATACAAAATGCAGATTAGGGAACAGCGCAAACACCATTAAAAAAAATTGACAAGGCTTCTTTGAATTCCCATATTTGTTTGCTGATGAGGTATTTGGTTCCACCAAATGGCCATATTGTGGTAAGCCCACCACTACATCACAATACCCCAATATCGGTGGGTCCTACACTAATTTCAACATTGGTGGTTAACATGCTAACTGCAAAATATCCTGCTGAAACTACCCCAGAGTCTCTTGACACAATATGCCCATATGGTGTAACTGAATCCCCATATTTGTTTGCTAAGATATGTGATGTGATCTTAAGTAGCCTTATAAAATGTAAGTGTAGTATTATTGTTTGTAATCTATTTATGTATATATTTTGGTCTTTACCTCAGCACCACTACTTGAATATACATATTCCGTGTTTTTTTTTTTTTTTTTGTTCCCTTGGGTTGGAGTCAGATATAGGTTTCCCTATGCACCCCTTTCATTCTTGAGTGCTGTATCTTTGTTGTGTATCACTCTGCTGCTCCAGTGCATTGATCAATCCAGCATACTTGTATTGTTTTAATTGACTGACACAAAGCACCAATATAGTAAGCAGATGCACACTGCCTCTGAAGTTCCTCAATAAATACAGTATTTATATAGTAGGTAAAAGTGGACACTTTTTGTACTATGTATTGTCTCTTCACTCTCAACCAGAATGCTAACTTAAAGCTAAAAGTGTACTCATCCTGCATTCTGGGAGGTATGTGAGAGCAATGTGTACTGGTTGTATCAAGAAAACTTGGTGGCAGCATGCATAAGCGCCACTAAAGTACGCGTGGAATGTACTTGCCTTGACTGCACTTCTCACCCCAATTAATGCTTCATTATGGTATCCTGGGACAATTAAAGGACCACTCTAGGCACCCAGACCACTTCAGCTTAATGAAGTGGTCTGGGTGCCAGGTCCTTCTAGGGTTAACCCATTGTTTTATAAACTTAGCAGTTTCAAAGAAACTGCTATGTTTATCAATGGGTTAAGCCTTCCCCCAAATCCTCTAGTGGCTGTCTCATTGACAGCCGCTAGAGGCGCTTGCGTGCTTCTCACTGTGAAAATCACAGTGAGAGCACGCAAGCGTCTATAGGAAAGCATTATGAATGCTTTCCTATGCGACCGGCTGAATGCGCGCACAGCTCTTGCCCCGCGTGCGCATTCAGCCGACGGGGCGGATTGGAGGAGGAGAGGAGGCAGAGAGCTCCCCGCCCAGCGCTGGAAAAAAGTAAGTTTTTACCCCTTTCCCCCTTCCAGAGCTGGGCGGGAGGGGGAACCTGAGGGTTGGGGCACCCTGCGGGCACTATAGTGCCAGGAAAAAGAGTGTGTTTTCCTGGCACTATAGTGGTCCTTTAATGAGTATCGCTTTGAGAAACAGTTACATCTATAATGTTCTTTGCAATCATTTTCTTGTTCTCCACATTGAGTTGTTTGGGTTTGTTTTTTTTCTTTTTGTTTTCTTTTCTTTGCATGTAGTTTTCCTTTGCTATTTGAAGTTATAGTTTATTCTATCAGAAACGTTCTGTAAATTGAATTGCAATGTTTTGATCCAAATCTTAGTTGTTCTGGTGTCTATAGCCTGTCCCTGCAGGCTTTTTGTTGTAAACACTGCCTTTTTAGAGAAAAGGTAATGTTTAAATTGCAGCCTAGCAACACCTCTAGTGGCCACTCCTCAGATGGCTACTAGAGGTGCTTCTTGTGTCCGTGCTGCACATTCTGCATGGAGACACTGAACTTTCCCCATAGAGATTCATCTATGAGGAGATGCTGATGGGCCAGAGTGGCATTTGGCTCAATCTCTGGCCTGCATCCTTGGCTGAGATCATCAGAATTGACAGTCTCAGCCAATCCAGTGCTGAAAATTAGGTAAGCTTTTACCATACTTACCGATGCCTAGATAGTAGTGATGTCCCCAACGGTTCGCCACGGATGGCGAACATATGCGGTAAACTTTGACCCTGTACCTCACAGTCAGCAGACTCATTCCAGCCAATCAGCAGCAGACCCTCCCACCTCCTGGACAGCTCACTAAGAATTCAGCTTCACAATGAATGTAAAATGGATGCTGTCCAGGAGGCGGGAGGGTCTGGGAGGGAGGGCCTGCTGCTGATTGTCTGGAATGTGTCTGCTGACTGTGAGGTACAGGGTCAAAGTTTACCGCATATATTCGCCGTCCGCGGCGAACCGTTCGGGACATCGCTACTAGATAGTAATTTTAACACTAGAGGAATAAATGTTTGTTCCTTTTAATAAATGTGGATAAGTGTTTACCGTACACTTTGTATGTTGTTGTGAAGAGTCATGGAAAGCTTAGTGGAATAAATGGTTACTAAGAGCCAGTTTAGTATGGAAGAATTACAGTAACTGAAAATAAGCACTATATAGGTGTCAATTTTTACAGTCTGCTGTACTCTCAACATGTTTATTTTAGAAGTTTTTATTTTTTAAATTTCTGTTCATGTGAGATTCAAGCATTTTATATTTATAAAAAAATAAAAAGTTAATTTTACATCTATTTACCCATAATTGTTATGAATATAAAAAATACTTTTTTGTTGAGGGTGGGGAATTAAATACAAATTCAAGAGGATGTAGCTGCCATTAGTTTTAATGGTTTTGAGTTTCCCTTTCAGAAAAGAATAGTCTGTCATTCATAGAAACCTCTGCTCTCGATTCAACAAATGTGGAAGAAGCCTTCAAAAACATTCTTACAGGTATTTTCTGGAACTTGCATTGTGTTGTGGAACCTACTGAATGCACTTAACCCCTTAATGACACATGACAGATTTTTTTTTATCATTCTGGCCTTTTTTACTTCTGAAGCAGTGTCCTTAAGAGTTTCAAGGATTTTAAGAAAACTCTGTTTTTATTTGAAGTAACTATTCCTAACCGGGTTCTCCCCCTAACTTTAAAAAGGTGGGATAAAATAATCATAAACTTGCCTCTGTTCCAGCTCTGAGACAAAGTTCTCCTTTCAGCTCAACTCTTCCTAGCTGCTGGGGAAGGGATGTAAGGGAATGTACAGGCTAAGGGGAGTTAACTGATATTCTGCTGCTGTGGAACAAAATTAAAGGCATACAAAAGTTAAAAAGTAACATGTACTGTGTTAAAAATGCCATCTTTGGGGATCTTGTGGACTCATCATTGTTTGTCTTCTGAACTCTTTCAAAGGCAATATTTTATCCCGTAATACACATGTATCCTAATCATAGTATAAAGTGTTTAAGTGTTAGTAAAATGTGTAACCCTTCACTCTATAATGCAGTAATGTGTTTATATTAAACTATAAGACCTCCTGTCCAAGTTTCCTGTAACACAACTTGATTACAATTGCAGCCATTTGCAGTACTCATTGCACATATAGTGTCACTCTCAACTCAAATAGGTCAAAGTGAAAAATATGCTTTCCTAAGGCTGTATGCACAGTTGTTTGTGTGTCTACAAACATTTTTTTTATAGCATGCTGTGCTAGAACTAGCGTCTAGCTTCATTAATGAAAAACATGGATGGAGCAGAAATTGTGAAATTTGAAAGATGTTGCTGGAGAAGGGTAACTGGCTGAATTCTGTTTGATAAGTAAATGTAGCTATGTTCGCATGGGGTTGGAAGTGATGGAGTTAACTTATTTTTTCACTCTGCATTAATAACCTTTGTGAAATTTGGTTTATCTTCTGAATGAAACTATTTTTTATTTTTTTTGCAGAAATATATCGCATAGTTTCACAGAAGCAGATTGCAGACAGGTCAGCTCATGATGAATCCCCTGGTAACAATGTGGTGGACATCAGTGTACCTCCCACCACTGATGGGCAGAAATCCAGTAAACTGCAGTGCTGTCAGAATCTGTGACTTGACCACACACACACCCAACTTGGGATTATGCTGAAGAACACTCCTGTTTATCCTTCACTTCTCTCTGTGCACTTCTCCTCGTTTGATCAAAGAGCTGAACCAGACCTGCAACTGCAGTGCTTGGAATTGCTTCCACTCATTGGATGGGTGTTTTGCAGTGGGATGAAGGTTGCTCACTGGACAGAGGCCTTGCTAATTTCAAGGAAGTCTGTTTCATTCAAATGTTTTTGTTAAACTTTTTTCCCCCCATACTTCTTTTCAAGCAAGTGTGCTATAATTTCACGGTCTATCATTTCTAATGAATGTCATAACTGTTTCAATTCTAATGAGTCTTTTTATTGTTCAGATGTTTCATAACTATCAATTCATTGTATTTGGTTCTATTTGAAAGAATGTGGACCACCTTGTTTTATGTTTTCACTTTTCAACAGTGTCTTATTTCAAGAATTTAATAGTTTTTTCCAGAAGTGTCTATAAACCTCAAGGTGAGGCAGCAGTTCTTGTAACACCTAAATATTTCATTTACCTGTCTAAATAGAAGAGAGGAGGTACCATACATAGTTTTGAAAACTGAGACCATTCTCTCATGTTCCATCAACTTCCGTGCATTAAATCACATACCATTCCGCAGTTCTTATCCAATCGGAAAGCTCATCTTTGGTAAACAGAGCTGCTTTAGATACATAATTAATATTGTGTTTTGAGTGTTACTGGCAAAGCACATGGAAGCCTGTTTTTCAATAGAGATTGTTTTTTGTATTGTATATCTCTATGCTACATTAAGCGGGAACAGTGATTTTCATCACCTGATTTATCCCTATGGTCTTGGTTTTCTAGAAGGTTTGATGAGGCTTGTCTGTTTTGTTTTTGTTTGTTTTTTGCATGTGTCCTTCTGAGTAGGAGGGGTAGGATCTTACTGTAAATAACGGTTTCAAGGTATTGTAACTTTATTTCTAAGCAGTATTGTTCCTCAGTGTATCTTCAGTCCATGATTTATCATGCACTACAACCCAAGATTAAAGGGCTGAACGTAAAGAAAGTTGTTGGTATTTACCAGGATTAAATGTCTAATAACAGGGGTAAGGAGGTTTAAAATGTATCATCTGTCAATGAATTCAGCAGTGGCATCTACTTAAGTAATTTTGTATATCTATTAAAGGGGCATTCAAAGTACCATAATCACTACAGTATGTGAGTGCCTCTCCTCCAAACACACCCACACACACACTCACATTTTAAGTAGACAAACCATTTTGGTTTGATCTCTTACCTGGGATCTCCCTGGCTACCTGCTTGGACTACTTTTTACAGGCTGTGTTTAAAGCGAGATGGGAATCTGTATGATATTATGCACATGGATTTTATGACTTATTAATGGAACACCAAAGTGGCTATGGTGCAATCCTACAGTAAGTAGTCCAACCGTTTTTGTACGATTTGGCAAATGCTTAAAAGATTCTGGCTCTCTGGTAAAAGTAGTGTACTGGGGGAGTTTTGCCCTGGCAGAAAACAGTTTGATTACCTACAATGTTGCATAGAGTGTTCCTTTAAATATATTGATCTACAAATGTCTATTCTCAAATATTTTTAAACTGGAAGGATACATGTTTTTAATGTGTATATTCTCATACAAAAGTGCATGTGTGTGAATATATTATGGCTTATTAGAGGAACATTACAGCCCACTGTAGGGGCTATGGTGCCAGGAGTGACTTGATGTCATTCCAGAGTAAGCAGTCTTTTGCATATGGTTTGATTATTCGCCTACTCACTTCACTACCTAAACCACTTCTGATCTTCTGCAGTAGAGGCTGGATGTTTCTAGAGCAGTGTTTCTTAAACCAGTCCTCGTTGCCCACCAACAGTCCATGTTTTTGTCAGTATCTCCATTGGAATGAACAAGGGAATTACAGAAATCCTCAATTGTGGACCGTGAGGATTGTTTGGCAACCACTGCTCTAGACTGAAGCATGGTTTAGCTGCCACTCTTGGCCAGTGAGTGTAGTCCTTTATTTTCCTACTTAGTGCAGTAGCGCCAACAATATTTTCCTCTGGAGAAGACCACGAGCAGTTCCTGCAGATGTCTGGTGGGCCCCAGGCAAGTTGTCAAACCATACTAAAATGGTTTGACTGCTTACTGGTACCAGGTACTACAGCAGCAGTGTTCCTTTAAACCAAAATTGTATGGAGGTAGAGGGTTTTTATTCTTTCCTCCTGCTCACCATACTTGCTTGCCTGTGGCAGTCAATATTTTTTGTTCAGATATCCAGTCCACTAGTGCGCTCGCTCTCTCTCTCTCTCTCATATGTGGCTGTCTCCGCTTTACAGGCCCAGTATGGAACAAGGAAGGTACAAGCTATTCATGGTGCCTTGATCTTATTCTTCTATGAGATGTGTGTTGTGTAGTTTGAAATCTAATTATTCCAGGAACCATCCTATACCTATCACAAAACCAGGTCTTGTGATAGACTTCCTCATGACGTAGATTTATTGGATGATGCTTCTGCCTCAATACATAATGTGAAGTCCGCTGGGAACTATGTTGAGGTGCTTTAGCAATTCAATCTCTAGTTGTTCATGTTGGCCTTTGTAGTCTGGCATGGGGGTTATATCATCCCTCCATTCTTTTTATAGTGTTCAACGTCTTCATAAATATGTTAGTTTCAAAATGAACCCAGCATTAAAATTCAAGAATGCTCAAAAGTAATATTTCCATTTGGTTATACACATCCATCACAATACTGTCATACTACAAATTAACATTTTATTGTAATAAATTTTAAAACCTTGCTACACATACAACTTGTAACCATTTATTGTACTAATATAGCTTTCTCTTACTGTATATTGCATTGAATTATAAATCATTGTTTTTGATGGTTTGTATTTAAATTTTAAAGAGGCTCCCTCTTATTAGTTTTTTATGTTTGACCATCACTCTAACATCATTTGCTTTTTTGTATATTATCAGATTTTTAAAAAAAATTTAATTCTATATATCTATATCTTGACCACATTTTATGTACTGAAGTACTTACTGATTTGTAGGTTTGAGTATGTTCTATCTAATACTCTGCTTTAAGCCCTGTATGTTTTAAGTACTTATTTGACACTACACTATTATGCTTACTCATTATTTCTATTCACAGCTTACTGTTTAGTCGATGGGAACATATTGAATGATCCCTATTACTACCTCTAGTAACTACTTTGCTTCTGCTTTCAAAGGCCACTGCTCAACTTGCTCCCCTCTTCCCCAGTACACTGTATTGATAAAACCTCACCTCTTCCTGCTAGGAAACAGGGCTTCACTTGACATTTTTTTTTGCTGTACACACTATATTACTCGTCACTAGAGGCATTTCGTCCATCTTCATTCAGTCTTGAGGGGCAAAAAAAAAGTTACATTCAAACGTGCCACATGTCATAATTATTCCTGTAAATATTACCGGTTGTAGGTAATATATCAATCTCTGATTGAAAAGAAAAAAGAAATGTCAGCAGGGGACTCTAGACACTATAACTGGTTCAATGAGATGAAGCCGATACAGTGTACCTTTTTAAAGTGCACACCCCATGTTTTGGACACCTATCCATGTTGTGGTTTTTGCACTTCAAAGTCTTTTTAGTTTTGCTTAAAGGGAAAAATTAAAGTTTCAGCTTTCTATGACATAACCCTTTCACGTCAGTGTGCTGCTAGTTTCTAGGCCATTAATGTATAATGCTGAATAACAACTGTTTAGCTCCAAAGGTATGACCTATCTCATAATTTCGCAAGACCGGAACACTTTATCTATTCAATTTATCTGCACTTGTGCTAATTGCGTAATAAACTTGTTTTAGCTTTTTTTTCCACCCTCTCTACAGGGCTAGGGTTGATTAAACTATGTATGCTCTTCACAATATTTTTACCAGTAAACCCTATGGCAACTAAATATTAGCTCTCACCCCTATTGCCATTTAACCCATTAACATTAGAATAGCACCGTCAAATTGTACATGGCAGGTATCAAACTTCATATGATACAATTGACATTCTACTGTTTTAGAGCTATGTGCAAGGGTTGGACACATTACAAAAGCTCGCTGAATTTCTCACCACTTCTCCATTCAAACATAGCGCAATATTCCTGGCTTCTTATCGTTTTCTTTTTTTTTTTTAACCCTGAGCCTTTACAACTTGCACGGAATAGGATTTCATAACTTACTTGGGTTATAATCCATCACGTCTTAAGATATTCATTCAAAGTGTATTGTACAAGCCTATGAACTATTGGAAGTAATTTTGCCACAGCTTTCAGACTAAACGCAAGTTAAATAGGCTTTCACACTATAACATGTATTATGTGTACTGTACCAGTTTATTAAATAACCTTACCTTATCAACGTTCACACACATGCTCTTACAGGCCTTCATTTTATCTTCCTTATACTCCTTTTTTTTTTTATATATATCTTCAACACCCTTTCTCAAGAAACCTAAACCTCAAATGCAAACCTAATTAAGTCTGTAAGAGGGTTTATGTGTATATCTGCTTGCCCTCTACCACAGCACACGCTGACCTATTGCCCAACACTATCTCTTTTTTTATTTTTTATTTTTTTTATTTCCCCTACCACTCCCCCAATTATTCCGATTTTAATAGACTAAGACTCATTCTACACTTCTTCCAAGTGCTTGTCACACAACCATTTATTTGGCCAGAGAGGGGCTTCTTCCTACTATCTCCATTGTGTTCTGTTTCCCACTTTTGGAGACCTCTACCACTTGTGATTACTAAGCACATCCTAGAGTGCTTTTAAGTTGACTTTTCCAAATGCGGTTTCATTCCCCTCTCTCGTCAAGCCCAGTGTAACTGGCATTATTTTGTTATAATGGGTGGTGTTTGATTTTCCTGTTGTATCCCACTGTCTCTCAACTTTGAAGCAGTATAATTATATACATTATTCTCTGTATACGGAACTGCCCTCACAAAGCCGCAAAGGAAATGCTAGATGGGGTGTGCAATAGGCATAGCCGCTATATCCCCAGCAACCTACGTTTAGCAACCAGCAGTAAAGTGATCCGAGAATGGAGCTTTAGGTAGGATTTTTAGTTTATATTTATTATTAACACAACCATTATCTTTTCAGTTTCTTAGTTGGTTGTTTGTGTTTTTATTCAAATACAATGAATTCTTAATATTGGACACTATGCAATCATAACATAGCAGTGGAAGGTGGGCTTGGGGCTGTTTGATACAGACCTATGTCTGGCTCTACCATTGTGGTGTTTGCAGGAAGGTTGAAATACAATTACAAAGAAGTGTGCAATGATATACTGAAATCCCCATGGGTGGGTGAAGGGAGATAACTCACAAGTTTACCTGTGTTAATGTTTATTTGTAATTAAGGCCCGCTGTAGATGAGAGGCTGCTTATGCTTGTATGTGAATGCTTTATTATCCTTAAACACACTATGTGAGGAAGTAGCCTATGCAATGTGGCTACCATATATACATTATACATTTAAAATGTTCACATATGCAGTTGTATACATGGTTTTATTGGAGGACTAAGAAAATTAATCTCTAAATTGACTAGTTGCCTGACTACTACTGTAGATGTCACTGCTAGCTCTTTTTTTATCTTATATTATTTGGGAACGTACACTGAACAAAATTATAAACGCAACATTTGTTTTTGCCCCCATTTTTCATGAGCTGAACTCAAAGATTTAAGACTCTTTCTATGTACACAAAAGGCCTATTTCTCTCAAATATGTGTTAGTGAGCACTTCTCCTTTGCCGAGATATCCATCCACCTCACAGGTGTGGCAGATCAAGTTGTTGATTAGACAGTATGATTGCACAGGTGTGCCTTAGGCTGGCCACAATAAAAGGCCACTCTAAAATGTTTTAATGTATTGGGGGAGGGGGGGAAAGCATTCAGTATCAGGTGTGACCACCATTTGCCTCAACCAGTGCAACACATTACCTTTGCATAGAGTTGATCAGGTTCTTGATTGTGGAATGTTGGTCCACTCCTCTTCAATGGCTGTGCGAAGTTGCAGGATCTGGAACACGCTGTCGTATATGCCGATCCATAGCATCTCAAACATGTTCAATGGGTGACATGGCCTGTGAGTATGCTGGCCATGCAAGAACTAGGATGTTTTCAGCTTCCAGGAATTGTGTACAGATCCTTGCAACGTGAGGCCGTACATTATCATGCTGCAACATGAGGTGATGGTCGTGGATGAATGGCACAACAATGGGCCTCAGGATCTCGTCACGGTATCTCTGTGCATTCAAAATGACATCAATAAAATGCACCTGTGTTCGTTGTCCATAACATACGCCTGCCCATAACATAACTCCACCGCCACCATGGGCCACTCGATCCACAATTTTAGAGTGGCCTTTTATTGTGGCCAGCCTACGGCACACCTGTGCAATAATCATGCTGTCTAATCAGCATCTTGATAGGCCACACCTGTGAGGTGGATGGATTATCTCGGCAAAGGAGAAGTGCTCACTAACACAGATTTAGACATTTGTGAGAAATAGGCCTTTTGTGTACGTAGAAAAGTTTTAGATCTTTGATTGCAGCTCATGAAAAATGGGGGCAAAAACAAAAGTTGCGTTTATAATTTTGTTTAGTGTATAAATATTCTTGTTTTCACTTTCACTGTGTGTGACATCTTTGTGATGGCTGCTTTACAAAATTGATATAATCCTATCTGTTTAGAATCACATGGCAAATTACTCACGACTCCTTTCCGGTTCTAGTATACATCTTGAACAAAAAGAACACCATGTTTAGTTAAGGCAAGTGTTGGAACTACAAAGCTTGAGAAAGATTGGTGTGAACCAGGTACTTTTTGCAGTAAAACCTGGGTTTCAGTGCAGTAGCTGTGCTACAGTATTAATATGGGGAGTAATATATTACTGTAAACAAGCCCAATAGAGATGCATGCCTAGTAGTATTTCATTTCTGGTATGCCAATAAATTTTAATTATCTGCAGGCTATGTTGTCAAGTAATAATTTAAAAAAATTTGCAATTGAAATTGGTCTGAGTTTTGTCGTTTCTGGTGCATAGTAAATGAAGATATTCAGATATGAACAATTTGACAATCATATGTAAAAATGAAGTGGTTAAAAAATTGTAGGAAGGTGGTAAGCATTTATGTAAAATATCAGGAATCATAAGAACTGAGGAACGGAACAAGTAAAGGAATTGGGACAAACTTGGATGGGGTAAGCAAGCACAATGTCATTTATACAAAGAAGAGTTCAATCACATTTCCATGTTACACGGTGCATTTCTTACATTACCACTACACCTCGCTTCTTCACTGCTTCTTCACTGCCCTGGTCAACAGCAAGTGTATAAAAGTCACGGGGGCAGTGGAAATATTTTTAAGCAACAGCTCACCATTAAAGTGGTAAGCCATATAGGCTCACAGACCAAGACCACTCAAAGCTTTTGCATGCTCATCTGTTACCTGTTGTAACTTTCACTACCACTAGAGAGAACAGAGGCACACTAACTGTTCACGTCATGAAATTAATTTCTATTGCCAAGCTATTACACACAAGTTTATCTACCAAACATTGACTGAAAGGGCATATATAGCGTACTGCCTTTTGACTGTAGGACATTACGAGTAAGGTCTTCGAAGTGGTGAATCATGCTTCACTATCTGCCAGACTAATAAAATTATGCCAGGAAAACACACATTTTTGCCATCTTAATTTTTTGTTTTGTGTTTTATTTTGGGAGCTTAAAAATAGTTTTGGTGTATAAACCATGCCCCTGCAATCTCACTATCAAATTCACTGCCATTTAGGAGTTAAATCACTTTTTTTTTTTTTTCTGCATCCCTAGCCATACCTACCTTGGCTGTAACTCACACAGCCTGCATGAAAAAATGGTTTCACTTTCAACCACGTTACTCATTTGAAAGTTTTTATCTCCTGCTCTGTAAATTGAACTTTAATCACACAGGAGGCTCCTACAAGATCTAGGAATCTATTAACTGTGCATGAGATAAGACATTCTAAATTAAACAGACTGTGCAATAAAGGAAGTTTAAACATTAGATCTCACTTTACAGGAAGTGTTAAGGAAGGCAGTGCAAGTGATTTAACTCCAAAATGACAGAGAATTGAGCAGTGAGACTGGAGGGGCATGGTCGATACACCGAAACTGCTTTATTACCTTTTGGATTTTTGCACGTTTTTATTATATTTTTTATACTTTTCAATACAAATATTGTTTTAATATATTTATTTGATCATTTTTCTCTCAGAGAGGGTTATTTATCCAGTATCTTACATTACCTATGGTTTTTATACAATTTACATGTAATGCTATAAAGAGTTTTTCACCAAGGTTTGCAACATTTAGTTTCTCAACCCCCTTTGTGTTCACATCTACATTCCCTTTGGACTGCAACATGCTGCTTCTGTATTAATTGAAACTGTTGCAGTTTTTGGGAAGTATATGTTGTAAACCAATGTAAGAATTGGATACATCATTTATTTAGTGTGTTATATGTCTCACCATAGAGTTATTTAATATATCTAGGGTAATTATTTTTCCTTGTTTTAGCTGGTATTTTTTATTAAAGGTATATATCTTCTATAGGAACGTTTGTTTCCTCTAATTATTTGTGGAGCGCACAGGCTATATATTTTTAGTTAACAGAACATTGCATAATCACGGATAAATCGTCATAAACTAATAAGCAACAGATCAGGATAAAAACCCTGTAATAACAACATCCAAATTCTGATGTACCTACAGTACAGACCTACTAAATAGATTAGGAAGGGGAAAACAGAAGAACGCATGAAACTTGCCACAAGGGATGAACAATACTTGTTTCCGTGTCTTTTATAAAATTCTGACTCTTCATCATGAAATAGCATAAATCATAAAATTTTATGGCAAGTAACACACGGGGGCTCATATTGCAAGTTCAAAGTTGCCAGTAACAGCAGAAAAAAAAAACATGGAACCGTATAGAAAATTTTTTTGAGAAAAGTAGACTTTCCTCATCAAGTCCTCCAAGTGGAAAAACCTGGATGAATGCGCTCCACAAACAGTTCCACTTGATCCAAGGTGCAAGGGTTGTACTTGAGTCAGTTGAAGTGGAGAATGAATGAATAAAAAGAGGTGTGGGTAGGAGGCCTGCGGATATGCCGCCTTACGACTCTATACTCCTTCAGACAACAGACTTAATTTCCGTCTTTGTACGTCTAGAGATATCAGAACACAACACCGTCAGGTGTAAATGATCAAGTGTCATGATCCAACGCCCTAACATCGGAAATGCTCTTGCAAGAGATAAGTAAGAGTAACGAGTTTAGCCAAAGGCTGATGCAGAGAAAGGTAGATACATTTTTTTTATTTATACCAATAAAGGAATTTTCTAACACCTTCTGAATCTGGCATTCTGATTTTACCATCTCAAACGAGGACTAAAGAAGCCTAGGTGGGGAATATACCACTGCCCTACTCATCGAGCAGTAAGCCTGCTCTAAGAAATGTGAGTACATCTCTTCTATTGTGAATTATTCTAAAGTTTTATTTCTACAGTGAGCACTATATTTGCCATTTTTTATTTTCCTGGTCCCGAACTGCTCTCATTGAAAATATTTTAAGAAACTACCTACCATATACATCCCATAAGTGTGGATTATTCCACTTCACGCTATGCACACCAGAGCTGGATATAGCTCTGGTAAATGTGAGTAGAATAGAACCTATATAATATTGAATATATATCTCACTATATACTGCACCATTGGAGTCTTCTCTCATGTCTTACATGTACTTCTGGAATTACAAGAACCCAACCTCCAAGAACTTTTGATTTTATCCAGTTTGGCTGTTCACTTCAAGACTTTTATACCATTATATTTTAATTTTATTTGTTTTAGTGGATATTTTATTCTTGTTATCTTCATAATTCTGGTATATTCCAATTTCTATTATCCACTTGATCCAAGGTGCAAGGGTTGTACTTTTTTTTTGATGCAGAGAAAGGTCCAAATTAGGTGGTCAAGACATATGAAGGGACAACACGCACAAAACATCCCACCTAGCAGAATAACTAGGTCTCGGGGGATGAGAGAGTCTGGTACCTTTCAACAGTATACATTAATAATTTATTTGAAAATAATGTAGATAAAGTAAAATCTTGCTTTTATTCAATACATTAGTATTTTCAAATAGTTGTACAAGGGGCTAAAACCTCTGGGTCTTTTGGTGGACCATTTTTACTTTGGAACCAGTTTTACACAGTAGTCTTCCATATCAATAATCAAATTTAACAACTTATGATTGCTGTTGCAAAAATGCCTAGTCTAATAGGCTAGGCAATGATATAGGTATTTTTTTTTATAGTTTTGGGGAGGAAGGGGAATTTGACATCCAAAAATGATTTCTATGGATGACATTCAGGCAAACCTGGACAAACATCTGACGACCCAAACAACATTTTTATTTTTAGAAAATTATACTGTTAGGTACGGAAGTAGTTGGACACTGGCACAATTTTAATAATTTTCACTCTGTACACCACCATAATGGATTTAAAATGAAACAACCGAGATGCAATTTAAGTGCAGCCTTTCTGTTTTAATTCAAAGAATTGAGCAAAAATATTGTATAAAAAAATTAGGAATTGTAACCATTTTCATACACAATCCCTTTATTCCAGGGCTCAAGTGTAATGGAACAAATTAACACAATCATAAATAAAATGTTAAGTTTTAATGCTTGGATGCATGGACATCACCGAACACTGGGATTTCCTCCCTTGTGATGCTTGCCAGGCCTTTACTGCAGCTGTCTTCAGTTGTTGCTTGTTTGTGGGTCTTTCTGCTTTAAGTTTTGTATTCAGCAAGTGAAATGCATGCTCAATCAGGTTAAGATCACATGATTGACTAGGCCATTGCATTAAAAACTCCTGGCTAAGCATATGCACAAGAGACTACTTCAATCCGTCTCACCTAAGATGGCGACTGCTGGAACTGGGACGGCTCATGCGTGCCATGCCAATCTCACACTCCCATGTACTGAATTGCTGGCGTGATTTGATCAGCTCTGTGCTGCATTCTGGCGCCGATTGCAGAAAAACCTGGAGGCTGGTGTCGGAGTGGGGACAACACTACTGCTGCCTACCTCTCCTAAGCCTGGCTATTCTTTTTGATACAGCACTAGTACCTTGTTACCTTTGGCCATAAAATTATTTCCTGCAATATAAGAACCAGTTACCACCATCACCACTGCTCTCTTAGAATCTGGGCTAGCTGTTCTGCAAGGGGGGATGGTTCTTTGGTATTGGTAAGATACCGACTTAGCAACTGAGGCATTACTCTCTATTGCAGGTATTCAGTTTCTGTCCTGTGTTGGTAATAGGCTGTTGTTTTCCTTAGAACAGCCGAGGTATTGGCTAGCTGTCCCTATTTATATTCTCCTTCGGTTCATAGTAGTTTTCCATTTACCTTGTAACAAGGGTGTACCAGTGGAGATACATACAGCACTAGTACCTTGTTACCTATGGCCATATGATTACTTCCTGCAATATAAGAACCAGTTTCCACCATTACCACTGTTCTCTAAGATTCCTTCCCCCTTACCTGCTATCTCTTATTTTGTCCATTTCCGTTAGTGTATCTGAGGCTTAACTCAATAAAGCCTCATTAGATACACATTTACTGATTTTAGTCTGAGCTCTCCCTAAGCTACCCCCATACACTAGCCAATACTTTGTTATGCTGTATACAAGATTTACCACTAGTCTAATATTATCCTTACTTTTTTGTGTCACTTTACCCCACTCCCTCTAGCATGTAAGCCCATTGAGCAGGGCCCTCAACCCCTCTGTTCTTGTGTGTCCAACTTGTCTGGTTACAACTACATGTCTGTTCGTCCACCCATTGTAAAGCGCTGCGGAATTTGATGGCGCTATATAAATAACAAAATAATAATAAAGTACCGTCCAATCAATTTCCCTGAAATTGGCTGAATCTGAGCAGACAATACATCCCTATACACTACAGAATTCATCCGACTGCTTCTGTCTTCTATCATATCATCAATAAGCAGTAATGACCCAGTGCCATTGGAAACCATGCATTCCCATGCCATCACATTGGCAGCCACCGTGTTTCACTAATGTTGTGCTATGCTTCGGATCATGAGTCGGATCATTTATCCTTAATTAAATCTGTTTTAAACTAAAAGAGGTTTTTGCAGATTCCACTGGGTTTCGCTGATTGCACCACCTCTGCATCTGACGTCAGAAGTTACTGGACACTGTTAACATACTGAGAATCTACCAAATGAAAGTACAACTGCTTAAAAGAATTTAAAGTGACAGTTCAATTATTCAAATAGTTTCAAATTCCTAATCATCTTTTTCACGCTGTCTAATTTGTATATCTATCTATTCAAAATTGTTACTTGTTCTGCACAGCCCCTCAAGAAATTTAAAGTGAGATTATACATATCTAATTTATTTAAAGTGAAGATACATCTTAGAAGAAATCTTAAAGATACAGATACCAATTCTCTACAATTCACTTGTATATTCTGTTCTTAAAATTTCCTCTTTAAGTGACACATTAAAGAGTTGAACCTGCGGTTGTATTCCACTTTTGCATTTTCTTCATAAAAGCCTAACACAGCAGCATGATCCAGTGATGCAAGCTACACTCCCTATTTTACCATAGCAGCTTCTTTATTAGTAATGTGTCCCAATAGGTGCATGTAGGTCCACACACATAGATAATCTCAAATAATCCTCGTAAAAATTACATATACGAAAAGAGTGCACATTTATTGATAAAAAAAGTATGCATTTCAAAAAGTTATGCAGTCCTCATAGATGCAAAAGAAACATAGAAACATAGAATGTGACGGCAGGTAAGAACCATTTGACCCATCTAGTCTGCCCAATTTTCTATAGCTAGGATATGCCTATCCCATGCATGCTTAAACTCCTTCACTGTGTAACCTCTACCACTCCAGCTAAGAAAGCACCAAGGAAGATGCGAAACACGTCCAGGGTTTTTACACTCTTTTTCCGGGTAGTTTTCTAGGTGGTCTCTCCCCTGTCTGGCAGTTGCAGGTAGTACGGCAAATTGATAATTTTCCGAACATTGTAACACATTATCCATAATTGGAAAAATCGAGCACCGTGGCAAGAATCCGGTTAATTTAA